AAGCGAGTGCTCTAACCACTGAGCTACAGGACTTTCAAGTTTGCAGATGATACTAAGCTGGAAACGTAGTAAACAGTGAGGAGGATAGTAACCGACTGCAACAACAACAACAACAAGATTCCATTTATAAAGCGCCTTTCACGTCAGGAGGACGTCCCAAGGCGCTGCACAGTTGGGTCAGGACCCGAGCAGTGGGAAATGGTCAGGGTGAGGGGAGGGAAGGGAGGGAGCGAGGAGGGGGGAAATGGTCAGGGTGAGGGGAGGGAAGGGAGGGAGTGAGGAGGGGGAAGAGAGTCGAGAGGGGAGCTGAAGGCTCGGTCAAAGAGAAAGGTCTTGAGACCGGCCTTGAAGGAGGAGAGGGAGGAGGCGGTGAAGGCACTGGGGGATGGAGTTCCAGAGCCTCGGGGCTGAGAGGCTGAAAGCCCGACCACCAATGGTAGGGCGGTTGGGGCGGGGGATGTGGAGCAGACCGGAGCCAGAGGAACGGAGGGTACGGGCAGGTAGGTAGGGGGATAGTAGGTTGGAGAGGTAGGAGGGAGCGAGGCCGTGAATGGCCTTGTAGGTGAGGGTGAGGATCTTGAAATCAATCCTCTGGGGGATGGGGAGCCAGTGGAGGCGAGCGAGGGTGGGAGTGATGTGGTCGCGAAGCCTGGTGCGGGACAGTACACGAGCTGCAGAGTTCTGGATGACCTGCAGTGTGGAGGGAGGTGGCGGGAAGGCCGCGAGGAGAGAGTTCCCATAGTCCAGCCTTGAGGTGACAAAGGCGTGAACCAGGGTTTCAGCAGCGTGAGGGGTGAGGTAATGGCGTAGTCTAGCGATGTCCGGAGGTGATGGAAGGCGGTGCCAGTTGTGGTGCGGATGTGAGGGAGAAAGGACAGCTCAGGGTCGAACAAAACGCCGAGGTTCCTGATGGCTTTGAGAGGTGGAGAGTGCAGCCTTGGATGCTGATGGTGTCGGCGCCTGAGGTGCTGACTGCAAGAGGACATAGACAGACTGGTAACACGGGCAGACACGTGGCAGAGGAAGTTTAATGTGGAGAAATGTGAATTGATGCATTTTGGGAGGAAGAATGAGGAGAGGCAATATAAGCTGATGGTACAATCTTAAAGGGGGGAAGGAACAGAGAGACCTGGGGGTTCATATCAGTAAATCTTTGGAGGTGACAGGACAGGGAGATAAAGCTGTTAAAAAAGCATACGGGACACTGGGCTTTATAAATAGGGCCATAGAATACAAACGTCAGGAAGTTATGATGAACCTTTATATAAAACACTGGTTAGGCCTCAGCGAGAGACTGTGTTCAGTTCTGGGCCCCACACTTTAGGATTGATGTCAAGGCATTGGGGAGGGTACAAAGGAGATTGAGGGACTTCAGTTATCAGGAGAGGCCGGAGAAACCGGGATTATTCTCCTTGTACCAGAGAAGGTTAGAGGAGACTTAATAATTTTCAAAATTATGAGGGGATTCGATAGGGTGAACAAGGAGAAACTATTTCCACTGGCGGGTGGGTCGGTAACCCGAGGACACCGAATTAAAATAGTTGTTAAAAGAAACAGATGGGAGGTGAGGAGAAATGTTTTCACACAGTGAGTTGTTGGGATCTGGAATGCATTGCCTGAAAGGCCGGTGGAAGCCGATTCAATAACAGCTTTTAAGAGAGAAGTAGATAATTATTTGGGGAGGACAAGTTTGCAGGGCTATGGGGAGAGAGCGGGGGAGTGGGATTGAATTGGAAAGCTCTTTTCAAAGAGCCGGCACAGACGCGATGGGCTGAATGCCCTCCTTTGGTGCTGTATTATTCTAGGAATCTAGGAATCTATAAAAGATCTGCTATGATCGAGTAAATCTCCTGATGTGAAAGGCGCTGTATCAAATGCAAGGATTATAATTATTATGTTTATTATCACACACAAGGTCCCACAGTCAGTTTAGGATTGAAGGAATGAGGGAGAAGGAAACGAGAGAGAGAGAGAAAATACATAATGTCCTCTTGCAGTGCCAACATGCCAACGAGGGTGACGCATTGGAAAATACGCAATAGACCGTGTGTGAAAAAAAAAACCTAAATAATCGTAAACAAACAATCTCTCTCAACCTACTCCCTGGCCGAAAAACATGTTGCAATTCTGCATGGTGATGGCTATAATGAGGCACCAGTTGGAAACTTGGCAAAGACATGAAAATTTAGCCTCTGATCGCTTCCCAGCGCAGTGAGAGATCTCAACTGTTCGTAGTGTTGTGTTTCTTCGCTAAGTGTAAGATTTCTCAAAGGTTTTCTCAATGTGCACACTCTCACGCCCACTCATGCTCACTCGTACATCTGCCACACCGCCCCACACGCAGTCGCACGTACCTACTCGCACGAAGCACGTGCTCACACGCAAGCATGTACTCATGCACGCTCACACGCATGATACACATTCACACAAGCACTTGACTCCATACACTGACACTCTCACACTACCTCCCTTACTGCAGTTAGCACTGAGTCCTGTAGCGTATTGGTTAGAGAGCTCGCCTCGCAAGCAAGAGGACCTGGGTTTGATTCCTGGGTGGGATGAAACCTTAGGCAAGTTTCCTTACTCCACACGTCTCTGTTTACCCGGCAGTAAGTAGGAACCTGGTTGTTAGTCGATTGGCGGATTGCTTTTCCAGGGGTAATAATCCCTTCAAAATATAAATAAATAAAGAAATTGCCACTCAATCCACCACTGGTTGTGGGACACTGCTGAGCGCAATTGGCTGCCGTGTTTCTCCCACAAACTATACAGTCACTACACTTTACAGTATATTCTGTGAAGCCCTTTGAGATGTCCGTTTCATTGTCGTGATAAGGCGCTATATGAAATGCAAGGATTATTATTATTACTATTATTAACAAGGTCCTGTCTGTGCCGGTTCAGGTAGATGTTAAAGATCCTTGGGTGCTATTCGAAGAGAGAAGAGATTTTCTCTCTCCCAGTGTCCTGGCCAACAATCCTCCAAATAAAATTCAACATCCATTTTATGGCTGTTTGCGGGATGTTGCTGTGTGCAAATTGCCCACCAAAAACACAGGCCAGAAAGATTTCTTCTCCCAGAGTGATGGAGAATGTGCTGCCCAGGGTATCTAATGGGATGTTTAAAAGGGACTTAGAATGATGTTTAATACCTGTAGGATAAGGAAATTGAGGTTTTGGGGGAAGAAACAACAACAACAACAAGATTCCATTTATAGAGCGCCCTTCACGTCGGAAGGACGTCCCAAGGCGCTGTACAGTTCGGTCGGGACGCGAGCAGGGGGGAAATGGTCAGGGTGAGGGGAGGGAAGGGAGGGAGCGAGGAGGGGGTAGAGAGTCGAGAGGGGAGCTGAAGGCACGGTCAAAAAGAAAGGTCTTGAGACCGGCCTTGAAGGAGGAAAGGGAGGAGGTGGCGAAGGCACTGGGGGTTGGAGTTCCAGATCCTCCGGGGTGAGAGGCTGAAGGCCCGGCCACCGATGGTAGGGCGGTTGGGGCAGGGGGGTCTGGAGCAGACCGGAGCCAGAGGAACGGAGGGTACGGGCAGGTAAGTAGGGGGATAGTAGGTCGGAGAGGTAGGAGAGGGAGCGAGGCCGTGAATGGCCTTGTAGGTGAGGATGAGGATCTTGAAATCGATCCTCTGGGGGATCTTGGAAAACCAAAGATTTGGGATTAGGTAATAATAATAATAATCCTTACATTTTATCACATTGTCAAAATCTCACACAATCTAAAGCCAAGCCAAAGCCCTAATGGATAGTATGGTCCTAGCTGGATAAGCAGCGAGAAAGCTTGCCAGACAAGGCTCTCAAAGGCAAGCTATGCTGCTTAGACTCCAGCAATTAACCCAACGCACACTCTGTGGTCCTCAGGCCTCAGCTCTTGCTAATTGTGGAGTCCTGTAGCTCAGTGGTTAGAGCACTCGCTTTGCAAGTGAGAGACCTGAGTTCAATCCCAGGCAGAGGGCGAAACCTCGGGCAAGGCTCTCCACACAGAGCCTAATAATAATCCCTCCAAAAAAAAACAAAGCAATAATAAATTGGTCATTTTCAATCTACGACTGTTTGTGGGACATTGCTGTGCGCAATTGGCTGCCGCGTTCGCCCACAAATATACAGTCAATTCACTTTACAGTGTGTTCTGTGAAGCGCTTTGGGACGTCCTCCTGATTTGAAAAGCGCTATATCAAATGCAAGGATTATTATTATTATTATTATTATTATAATTTGCACTCAAATTCCCCTGGAAAGGGGAGGGGGAAGAGGAGAGATTAGCACACTCGACTCCAGAGAAACAGGAATTTCTAATCACGTGTTAAACTCTCAGTCTTTTGGAGGCTCTTTCTCACAGCGGTGGCTTTGAGTGCGCAACAGCCACCTGGCTAACCCCAAAACATTTCCCTCATATAAATAATAATAATATAATAATATTCCTTGCATTTTAATATAATGCCTGATCATGTTGGGAGGACATCTCAAAGCGCTTTGCAGGATTTTACTGTAAAGTGTAGTGACTGTGTATTTGTCTCTTCAACCGTGCCTTCACCTCCCCTCTCAACTCTCTACCCCCTCCTCGCTCCCTCCCTTCCCTGCCCTCAAGCTGACCAGTTCCCCGCTGCTCGGGTCCTGACCCAACTGTCCAGCGCTTGGGACGTCCTCCCGACGTGAAAGGCGCTCTACAAATGCAATCTTGTTGTTGTTGTTGTTGTTGTTGTTGTAGGTGAGCGCAGCAAGCCAATTTACACACAACAAAGTCCCACAAATAGCCATGGAGTGAGCGACCCATTTTATTTGGGGAACTGTTGGCCAGGATACCGGGAGAGGGAAACTCCCTTCTTTTTTCACATAGTGCCCTGGGATCTTGAACGCCAACCCGAACAGGCAGATGGAACCTCGGTTTAACGTCCCATCTGAAGGACGGCACCTTTGACAATGCAACGCACCCCCAGCGCTGCACTGGATGGTCAAGTTAGATTATGTGATTCCAAGTCCTGATGTGGGGGCTTCAACCCACAACCTTCTGACTCAGAGATGAAAGTGCTACAACTGAACTCGACTGACACAGATTGCCATTTAGGTTGTTCTCAAGGACTCTGAGATGTCCTCCTATGTGACGGGTAGTGTTGTTGCTGTTATTGTAGCCTTACTTGGAGATGTGGAGATGTGGAGATGAAGAAATATTTTGCACAGCAGGCGGCGAATTGGTCCAAGTAAATTGCTTTCCCTGGCAGAGACATGAAGGGGCTGGCTACAAGTGTTGACTGGTAACTGTCCCCAGGGGTAACAGAAAGAGACAGAGACAGAGAGACATGTTGCTCTTTCAGCCCGAATCCTGTGCTGGAGATTGATGGCCGGTAAGATCTTTTGCAGCTGCGTTGACATCCAACAGAGCAGAAATTCCCCAAATACGGCAAAGTCATGAGCAGCGCGTCCGATTCATTGTAACACACAGAGAGGCTCGGCCGCAGGAATAGAAGTAGGTCAATCACCCCATCTCTACAGGAGTCCGTTCACCTCATGCCTTTCTAGATGAAGTCCTGTAGCTCAGTGGTTAGAGCACTCGCCTCGCAAGCGAGAGGACCCGGGTTCGATTCGCGGGCAGGATGAAACCTTAGGCAAGTTTCCTTATTCCAAATGCCTCTGTTTACCTAGCAGTAAGTAGGACCCCAGTTGTTAGCCGATTGGCGGATCCGTTTCCAGGGTTAATAATCCCTCCAAAAATAAATTGGTCACTCAATCCATGACCTTTTTTTGGGACATTGCCGTGCGCAGTTGGCTGCTGTGTTTCGCAATACATTCCGTGAAGCCCAACGACGTGATAAGGCGCTATATCAAACACAAGGATTATTATTATTTTTATTATTAATTCAAGACCCATCCTGGTGGGCGGGGTGCTTGAACCCACAACCTCCTGACTCAGAGGCGGGAGTGCTACAGAGTGCGCCGGGCTGACACAGCGAGGATGCAAAATGCCAATTTTTTTCTCCTTTCTTTCTTAAATCCTTCACAACAGGCCCACATTCAGCTCGTGTTTCAAGAAGTTAATTAATGCAAGGTCTTGAAGTGACAGCACTTTACACCTTGATTTACAGATTGAGAGTTTGTATGACGTTGTTAGTCGTAAATACCAGGAACAAATTGTCCGGGACAATGATATTGGAATGTGATTGAGGACTCGCTGACTCCCTTGGCCATGGGAGACTTTCTCCATGTTGTTGTGGAATCAGTATTTTGAGCCTGTAAGTAAATTTGACAATCATGAATTGCCAAACTGGCTCAGTTGCTAGCACTTGCGCCTCAGTTGCTAGCACTCGCGCCTAGAAGGTTGTAGGTTCAAGCCCCACGTCAGGATTTGAACTCACATGGTCTAAGGTGACTTCAATGGCAGAACTCTGTATTTCAGAGGTGCCCTCATTTGGATGAGATGCTAAACCGAGGTCCTGTGTGCCTGCTCAGGTGGACATTAAAGATCCAACGGCATTATTCGACAAAGATCCCAGTATCTTTGCCAAGAATCCCCCAAATGAAACTGGTCATTTGTTTTATAACTGTTTGTGCGATATTACTGTGTGCAATTAGGCTGCCTACAAATACACAGTCAATCCACTTTACAATATATTTGGTGAAGCGCTTTTAGACACCTCAACAATGTGATAAGGCGTTGTATCAAATGTAAAGATGATTATTTTTATGAGTAAACTTAAGTCCTGCTCTTTGGAGACGATTAAACATCAATGTGTAAAGTCGTGGCTGTTCGCGGATTATTGCTGTGCACAAATTGGCTGCTGTGTTTCTCCCACAAAATCCACACGGTCACATCACTTTACAGTATATTCTGTGTGGTGAATTTCAGACGTTTCAATGACATGGTCAGGTGTGATGTCAAATGCAAGGATTATCATTATTATTTAATGCTTTAAAAAGGATGAGATGTTAAACTGAAGTCTTGTCTGCCTTCAGATCCCACGGAAAGCGAAGGGAGTTTCTCTCTACTGGTTTCCTGGCCAACAATACCCCAGATAATCGTTGATAAAATGCCACATAAGAGACTTGTAAGCAAAATAGAAGCCCACAGTATTAAAGGGACAGTGGCAGCGGATACCGGACTGGCGGGGAGAAAGAAAGCAGAGAGTGGTGGTGAACGGTTGTTTTTCTGACTGAAGGGAAGTGTGCAGTGGTGTCCTCCGGGGGTCAGTACTGGGACCACTGCTGTTGTTGATCTATATAAATGACCTGGACTTGGGTATAGGGAGTACAATTTCCAAGTTTGCCGATGATACTAAGCTGGAAAAGTAGTAAACAGTGAGGAGGATAGTAACCGACTGCAAATGGCCATAAACAGACTGGTAACACGGGCAGACACGTGGCAGATGAAGTTTTATGTGGAGAAATGCAAAGTGATGTATTTTGGGAGGAAGAATGAGGAGAGGCAATATAAGCTGATGGTACAATCTTAAAGAGGTGAAGGAACAGAGAGACCTGAGGGGTCATATCAGTAAATCTTTGAAGGTGGCCGGACAGGGAGATACAGCTGTTAAAAAAAGCATTCGGGATACTCGGCTTTATAAATAGGGCATAGAATACAAACGTCAGGAAGTTATGATGAACCTTTATATAAAACACTGGTGAGGCCTCAGCGAGAGACTGTGTTCAGTTCTGGGCCCCACACTTTAGGAAGGATGTCAGGGCATTGGGGAGGGTGCAAAGGAGATTTCCCAGGATGGTACCAGGAATGAGGGACTTCAGTGATCAGGAGAGGCCGGAGAAGCCGGGATTATTCTCCTTGGAGCAGAGAAGGTTAAGAAGAGACTCGATAGAAGTTTTCAAAATTATGAGTGGATTCGATACAGTGAACAAGGAGAAACTATTTCCACAGGAGGGCGGGTCGGTAACCCAAGGGCACCGAATTAAAATAGAATCAAAGAATCATCCAGCACAGAAAGAGGCCATTCTGCCCATCGCATCTGCACTGGCTCCTAAAAGAGCAATCCAACTCAATCCCACTGGCCCGCTTTCTCTCCACAGCCCTGCAATCCTGTCCTCCCCAAATACCCATCTACTTCCTTCTTAATAGTTGTTATTGAATCGGCTTCCACCGCCCTTTTCAGGTAATGCATTCCAGATCCAAACAACTCGACGGGTGAAATATATTTTCCGAACCTCCCTTCTGTTTCTTTAAACAATTAACTTACATCGGTGTCCTCGGGTTACTGACCCACCCGCCAGCGGAAACAGTTTCTCCCGGTTCAACCTATCAAATCCTCTCATGATCTTGAAAACCTCTATTAGATCCCTCTTAATCTTCTCTGCTTTAGGGAGAATAATCCTAGTTTCACTAACCTCTCCTCATAACTAAGGTCCTTCATCCCTGGTACCATCCTGGTAAACCTCCTTTGCACTCTCTCCAATGCCCGAACATCTTTCCTAAAGTGCGGTGCCCAGAACTGAACACAGTCTCCAACTGAGGCCTAACCAATGTTTTACAAAAATTCATGATAATCTGCTGACTTTTGAATTCTATGTCCCTATTTATAAAACCTAGTATCCCGTATGCTTTTTTAAATAGTTGTTAAAAGAAACAGTGGGGAGGTGAGGAGATATTTTTCCACACAGCGAGTTGTTGGGATCTGGAATACATTGCCTGAAAGGCCGGTGGAAGCCGATTGAATAACAACATTTAAGAGAGTAGTAGATAATTATTTGGGGAGGACAAGTTTGCAGGGCTATGGGGAGAGAGCGGGGGAGTGGGATTGAATTGGATAGGTCTTTCAAAGAGCTGGGACAGACATGATGGGTAGAATGGCCTCATTCGGTGCTGTATAATTCTATGATAACAATGCCCCTCACATATGGTCGCATCCCAGAGCCCAGTCAGAAACAGATGAAACTTTTGTGAGATATTGCTATGAGAAAACTGTGTTCGCCTACAAAACATACAGTCACTATGCTTTATACTATATCCTGCACTGGTTATAATGAGATACATCTGTACTTTTCAAAGTCGTCTATTTTACTAGCGACCTCGTCCCTTAACCTGTGACTCAGTTGACCTTTCACCTTACTAGAATTCAAAATATGTGGCTGAAAATGATGGTCAAGATTAATTGGGAAAGGGAAGTGGGGGAAATAGAAGGCGAAGAGAGTTTAGTTTTGAATAAAGAGATTTAAAGTCTATCGGCATAAATGGATTCCTTGTAGTGTAGTGGTTAGAGCACTCGCCTCGCAAGCGAGAGGACCCTAGTTCGATTCCTGGGCAAGAAGGTACCTTAGGCAAGTTTCCTTACTCTACACATCTCTGTTTATCTCTGGTTATCAGTAAGTTGGACCTGGTTGTTAGTCGATTGCCGGATTGCTTTCCGAGTGTAAAAATAATAATGACAATGATAAATTGGTTACTCAATCCTTGACTGTTTTTTGGACACTGCTGTGTGCGTTTGGCTGCTGTGTTTCGCCCACAAAATACAGTCAATTCACTTTCTGTGAAGTGCTTTGAGACGTCTCGAAGACATGATAATGTGTTGTATCAAATGCAAGGATTATTATTATTATAGAGTAGAGAGCTCCAGTGGGGGAACGAGCATCAGCACAGACACGATGGGGGAGAGAGCAGGGGAATGGGATTAGATGCAAGCGTCCAGCTGTGTGTATAGCAAGGTCACCCTACCCATTAGGGCTTTGGCTTACAGCGTTAACAGGAGCTGAGTGCGAACAATCCCAATCCCCTGTGACCTCCCTGTCCAAGCCCTATTGACGAACCAAGCTGTCTAGTCTGTCATCAGCTGACAGATGAGGTGTTAGTTTAACATCTGACCCAACGGAAGTGTCAGCCCAGTCTGTGAGCTCAAGTCCCTCATCGTGGGACCTTCAACCTTCCAACCCTCAGCTGAAATCTCAACCAACTGAACCAAGGTTTGACACACATATCAAAGCAATGAACAGCGAATGCCAAGAAACACATGGCAATAAATGGATTATTATTATTATTAATAATAACAATAATGCGAGCATAGTTCGTGTAGTTATCGGTGCCACTGGGACTGTTAGCAACAATAATCCTTGGATTTGATAAAGCGCCTTATCACGTCTTCAACACATTTCAAAGGGCTTCACGGGAAATCGTGTGAAGTGAATTGATTTGTGGTAATAAGATTATTCAGAATTGTCTTGACAGAATACCCGCTGAACAACATATCAACCTCCTGCAGAAAGTAGCTGTTTTAGGAAGCTCAAATATATTAAGAAAAGTAATATCGATTCTTATATAAAGTGTCAGTGGACTTGGCCTGGCGAACCATCACTACACAACACTTAGAAACTACCTCTGCAGAGTCATTTAAATTGTACTCACGTAATA